CTTCCATTTTGATCAATCAGGTGCAAAGTCTTCTGAATCACCAACACCAATGGGACTTCCTGCTTCACGAGCACATCTGCCATCAACCCAACCACTACTTGCAGGGTGTTATGATGAATACTTCACTGCGAGCAATTACAAATTAATCTCTTTTGGAATCATCAAATATGGAATTAAGGCCCGATTGTCATTTGCTTAAAGTGTAACTCTGGAAGCCTCCTGTTTCAACTGCTTTATAAGCACATCGGTCTACTAACTTGTCGCAAATGTCGAAAATCCTGCCAGGAGGTATTTGACCTGCCCAAGAGCTAGCAATGCTTCACAGCTGTTCATAAATTCAGCTTGCACTTGGCGAAATTCCGTCCGGAATCTGAATCTCTTAGGTTGGTGCCGTAGGTTAGGCTGTCTTTCCGCCACCATGTTGGAATGCAACTTTACCTTTAATACCCTCTATCTACTGTCAGGAGTGTACTGACGCAGCAATAGTTTTATGTCCGCAGCCTTCGTGCTTGAGGGCAGTAAAGTGGTCAATTCATTGTTTGCGTGGTCTCTTGGGTTTAACCTTGTCCACAACTTAGCTCTCCCACGCGCGTTTTTGGCAAGAGGGGAGTGCGTTTCTACTTGAAATGCACAAAGAGCCGCATAATTTAGGAAATATTACAGCAACATGCATTCATAGGTAATGAACTGATACATTTCGTTGTCTCGACATCGTAAAACTGCAGAAAGGCCATTCTGAGTTCAGTAGGAAATCTATTTGGTCGAGTTAACGTTCCACCGTTACTTTGTAGTTCTTCTGAAGAGTATTGTCCTTGTCTCTCTATTTTGCACAATTGCTTGCCTGCTTGAAGTGGGAAAAAACATTTGGGTTTATCTCATCGTCATCATCATCATCATACCAGGACATTTCGATCATTCTGTGTGCACACTCCTTGGTCCTGTCTAACTTCACTGAGGTGTCACCTACAGATGTGAACTTGGGAACCTCGTTTGATGTGAACGCGTCGGCTAGCACAGGCAAAATACCACCACCGTACCTAGACAGCGAGAACCTTGGTGCCATTTTCCAACAGGAACACGAGGCTGCTCAAACTGAGATCCCGAACCTCCAGGTTAGTTGCTCTCGTGTTTTTCCTTCCATCGGCGCACACGTCTTGGACCCACTCGTGGGTTGGTGCTCGCGTTAGTGTTCCTGTTTTCATGTGTCTGGGGCATAATCACTAAAGTCAACTGGGTTCTGTTTCTCCCAAAATATCTTGCAAAGATCCACTTTCTCACACCCG